CCAGTGCTCTTGCTCTTACCACTATATCACACTGCTCCCCAGAACTAAGCACTGGGGCTTGAATTAGGTAGAGACCTTAGATCAACCAAGGCAGGAAAAGGCCCAAAGGAAACCCTACCCTGGCTGAGGGAAGTGATTTTTCCTCTCCATCTCCCTGTAAGGGGCCTGTCCCCACACATTGGGACTTGATCAGCCTGCTGAGACTTGGGAAACTTCTCTGATGCTTCCTAAGCAGAAGTCAGGAGGAGCCCCTGAGGATGTCTGCAAAGACCCACTTGTTCAGGCTGTGAGTACAGTTGAGAGCATCCACATCTGCTAGCCCCATTGAGGCTATCTGGGAAAATGATAACTGTATTGTACTACATGTCTCTTAATATATCTAGTTACTTTATTTTAGGAGGAAAGCAAGGAGAAACAGTACACACAACATTCTCCTTCATTTAATTACAGGAACAGTCAGGACCAATTTGGCAGCTATTAAATACTAGTTTGCCTTTATGCCATCTCTTCTCAGCGGGAACTCAAAGTCCAAATTGGCTGCTAAAGGCGGGAGATGGGGACAGAAGGTCAACACTGCTATTAGAAACCACGTGGAGTTAAAAACTGAGGCACCATGTGGCCTATTTTGTGTCCCACTGCTTGCTTTTGCCCATCCCCATGTCTTTGTTTTATAAGCTCTTTGCTTCTGTCACAATGTCTTTTACAAGGACTGGCCCAGAAGCATCAGAATAGGGAGGGACTTGGGAGACCATCTTGTTCATCCCCCTGGTTTGTCAGAGGAAGAAAATGAAGCCCAGAGAAACAGAGTGGCTGTCTCAAAGCCAGCCAGCATGTTGGAGGAAAGCAGGACCACAGCACAGGGAAGCTTCACCATGCAGGGACTCTGAGCTTTGGAGGCACAGCCACCTGGCTGAGTCCTGGCCCTGCCCTAGGTGTGTGAGCTTAAGCAACTTCCTTTACTTTTCAGAATCTCAGTTTCCTCATCTGTGAAGTGAGGCAAAAAGTTGGGAAGGGTCACCATCGGAGCCACAAAATTAAAACCAACACAAAGGACAATGGAAATAATGAAGTTAAGTTAATGGGTCAAAGTTTCAACAGGTACAAACTTCCAGTTATAAAATAAGTCATGGAAATGTTATGGACAACATGGTGACTATAGTCAATAATACCATATTGTGTATTTGGAAGTTGCTAAGAGGGTAGATCTTAAAAGTTCTCATTGCAAGAAAAAAGTCTGTGCCTTGGCTGGGTGGCTTAGTTGGTTGGGGCATCATCGTCCTATACACCAAAAGGCTGAGGGTTCGGTCCCTGGTCGGGGTATGCACAGGAGGCAACAGATCCATGTTTCTTGCTTTCTCTCTCTCCCTCTTTCTCTCTCTCTAAAATCAATGAATTATTCTCAGGTGAAGATTAAAAAATTGTAACTGTTAACTAGATGTTTTGCAATATATATACATATCCAGTCATTACCCTATATACCAGAAACTAATGTAATGTTATGTCTCAATTTAAAAAAAAGATTCCTGCCAGTGAACTACTTGGTTATTTAAAAGGACATGTTTATTTCACTTTAACCCTCTTTAAGAATAATAAAAAATAATTAAACAACTAAAAAAATGAAAGCACTAACAGTCAGGGTTTGATGACATCATTTGAACTGCTTGATTAGCCATATCTGAAGTCAGATACTGATATTTTAGTTGTATCAGCTAATAACTTCCTTACTCCTTAAGCTACTTTGATCTTGGTTTCTGCCATTTCCCACCAAAAGTACCCTTCCTAGCACATCACCAGTGCAGGAACCGGAGCTAAGCTCTGCACACGTGAGATCAACAACAGAAGGCAGGCAGTGGCCAAGCTTGTTCATATAGCAGGTGAGACCTCAGCTAACAAAGGGGAGAGAGTGGCAGATGATGTCATGTTGGTCATGTTAGTATTAAATTAACACTAAATTACTGACCTTACTTCATCAGGTGAGAGAATCCCAGCTGAGGACTCGTGGACTAGTGCTGAAACTTGTGAGCTCTTCTGTCCTTGAATTTTAGGGCTTTTGAAGGAGGTACAAGCAACATCTCCTTAGTCTGAGCCTTTATCCTGTCCCATGCTATTTGAGTACCACCTTTCAGCTACTGATGCACATCAACGAGACAGGATATACACACCCAGAGGCATAATTCTGGCCCATATATCATCTATTTCTGTCTTCCAACAGCAATATTTTAGTCCTGTACTTAGCATGGCAATGCTATCATTATCACCACTACCATCATCATAGGGCATTTACTATATGTCAAATTTTTAAGTGCAGCATCTCATTTAATCTTCCCAGCAATCCCATGAGAGTAGGTCTATTAATAAGTCCATTGTATGGGGAAGGAAAAAGGCTCAGAGAGGTGAAGTCACCTGTGCAATGAAACACAACTAGGACATGGTAGAGCAGAACTCCAACCCAAGAGGTGTAATCTTAAAGAACATGATTTTAACCTCTGTCCTACACACAGTTCCTAGCACAGTGCCTGGAAGTAGCAGTCAGGGAATAAATACTGACTAGACTGAAACAAAAGTTATATGGTGGATGTCATTCAGTCACGTCTATTCACTTACAATGGGCTCCATTCTCATGATGCAACTTTATTTGCACAAAACATGTAGGACAAGGTTCCCTACCGGGGAAAAAGGTCTTTATTCTCTTCCTAAAAGTGGGGACATGAGAACGTGGGTCAATTTTGATTATTAACCACATCCATGGAAGCTTCTTCTCCTTTCCATGGGCTTTGAGGCCAGAGACATGGGTTCAAATTAGCACTCTCTTTCTATGTGACTTTGGAAAAATCATTTAGATTCCCAAAGACCCCCTTTTTTCTTGACAAATGGGATACTAAATCTTATTTTTGCGTTCAGTGGCTATAAGAATGAAATTGGATCCGGCACGAAAAGGTCCACCAAAGCAATGGGCACTTAGTAGGAACACGACACACAGTGGTTATAATTCTTCTTTTTCCACCCAGATCTCCCTTACCCTTAGTGGCCAAACATGCTATGGTAATCTGTGCTGATTTACAGAGCATCTTCAAACCTGGGGCTCTTTCTTATTTTATTTTTCAAAGTAAAGACTTAATCTTTTAAGATTGTATTTATTTATTTTTAGAGAGAGGGGAATGGAGAAAGAGAAGGAAAGACACATCAGTTGGTTGCCTAATGCCCCCAACTAGGGACCTGGCCCACAATCCAGGCATGTGCCCTGACTGGGAATTGAAACAGTGACCTTTTGGTTCACAAGCTGGTGCTCAATCCACTGATCCACATCACCTGGGGTGAAACCTGGGGCTCTTTTTAAATGTAAAGAATGCAGGCTGTCAATAGGATAGGAATGATCTATAAATAGACAGCTGGATGAAATCAAAGTTAAAGTGCAGGATATGATATAACACAAGAAGTTCCTACTCAAAGGTCAGGAATCGGAGACCACTGCTTCTTTTGTCCCTCCCTGATGTGGATGACTGGGTAAGCTAAGTCACACAGCCAGGCAAAACCACACCTCCATCATCAATGGCAGAGTACGCCTAAAGCAGAGATCGCAAATTGCAATGCCAATGGGGCTGGGTATGGAAGAGGGACAGGCAAGAACTTCAGAGACATGGAAAACACCGGCATTATCTCTGATCCAGTTGATAACTGCTATGAGAAAATTCAGGCACAGAGATAGTGGACCCTTTCTTTAAAAAAATTTTTTTTTATTCTTCACCTGAGGTTATTTTTTTATTGACTTTGGAGAAAGAAAGGGATGGGGGAGAGAGAGAGGGAAGATGGTTGATGTGAGAGGGAACCATAAATTGGTTGCTTCCCATACTGGTTGCTTCCTGAATGTGCCCTGAGGATAGAACCCACAACCTAGATATGTGCTCTGACTGAGGATTGAATCTGTGACCCTTTGGTGTATGGGACAACTTTCCAACCCACAGAGCCACCTAGCCAGAGCTAGACCTTCTTATCTTTTAGGATGAACTAGAAATCTGGATTTTCATGAGACTGCATCCCTCCCAGCTGATCTCTGGCCATGGAGATTTGCTATTTTTAAATGGGGCTATTAATTTTCAAATAAAGTACCTGAATGAAACACAACAAAACAAAACCAACATAAGAGCCAAACCAAAACAGGTTAACAAGCTAAAATGACTCTATGAGCTGTCAGGTTATGCCCTGAAGGCAACTCCAAAAAAAGGATCTAAGATGTTAGAGTGACCTGGGCTGGATTTTAACAATATTTTACATCTGAATGGTAGAGCTGACCATAACTGCATCCCTCCCTGATGATCTCTGGACATGGAGATTTGGACTCAGCTCAAAGCTGGATGATACTGATGCTATTCAGGCATTGTTCATTTTAATGAGGGAGGTGAAATGGGTAAAGTTGGGCTTTGGGTGCCTTGAACCCCTGCCAATGTCTTGGGCACCAAAGTGAGTCAATGGCGAGGGTACAAGGCTGGAGTCAGGATACTTGAGTTCAACTCCATGCTGGCATGATACTCTTTTCCACTAGAAAGTAAGTCCATGAGAGTGAGGATTTTGTCTTGTTCACTGCTAGAAGGGTGCCTGGCACACACTTGGCATTCGGCAAATATTTGGTGAATGACTGGATGACCAGATGGTTACTCTGGGGATGTCACAAACTATGGGCCTCTGTCTTCACACCAATAAAATGGGAACTAACAATGGCTGCTCTGCTTGTGTTGAAGGGTTGCCACAATGAGACGATAGACTCACAAAGTGCTTGGAGGGCAATGACATTTACTATGAAACATTTACTGTGCTCTCTGTCCTTGGCTGACAGGAGGGGCCACTTCAGGCCCTGCATGGAATGGGTGAGGCCCACCATGACTGTCTTTCCTCTACCCTCAACTTTTTTCCGGCTGTACCAAGCCAGCCTGGAAGGAAGTTCCAAAATGATCACTCAGATTTTCATTTCCATTTTGTACAAAGACAGGGGGAGGATGTACTACCTTGCATTGTCCCGGCCATGTGACTTCAAGAAATTCATATCTCGGTATCGGGAGAGAAATGCCACCAGCTGGTCATTTGTCCTGTGGAAACAAAGAGGAAAGTCAGAATCCTTCAGAGGTGATGGAGAATTGAGTCTTGGTTTCATTCTTTGTCATAGAAAATAGGAACCCTCCTCCTTTCACACCAGCCAATGGGCTGATAAGGCTGTATGCTTTCATGAGTCACTATCAACCACACTACATTAAAACATACTCTTTGTATTTGTCTCGTATATGCTCCATGTACTGTGAACTCCTTGAGGATGAGGATAATATCTTATTCATTTTGGAATCTTCAGTGCCCAGCCCTGGGCTTGGCAAATAGTAAGTCATCAGTGTGTAGCTCAATGTCAAATACACAGTAACTTCAGGGCTTTTGCACTTGCTGTGCTTGGAAAATCCTGTCCTATATCTTCCCATCACTAGCTTGCTGCTGTTACCCAGGTTCTCTTGTAAATGTTCTTTTATCAGAGAGGACTTTTATGGTCATACAACCTAAAGTAGCACCTGAATCCCCCTCTCTGCCTTTATCACCATCTTATCACTCCATTTATTTCACTATCTTATCACCACCTGAAAGTGTTGAATTTCCTTACATTAGGATGTGAATTCAAAAAGACAGAACCTGGCTCATCACTGGCACATAGTAGGAGCTATATTAGTTCCTACTGTAGGAACATCCAACTGTTTGCTGGATGAATAAATGACTCAAAGTTGACATGAGTTTGAACTGACTCTTTTCAAGTGCATTTCAAGAAATGAATGAATCAATGAATGAATGAATTACCAAGTTCTCGACAACCACTGGGCAACTGATTGAGAGATCTTTAACAAAGATAAAGTGCGATGCAAACGAATGACATGTTCCTAGCATTGTTATCCCAAATTTATCACCATCAATCTCGGCACTAGCAGTGTAGTCACAGCTAATCAGCTTGTGCATACAGCTGTGACAGTATTTTAAAAGGCAGTCACATGGGTCTCCATCTGCCAGAAATGCAGTCGCCTCTTCTGCTGAATAAACCCAAACAGGTAAACAGTGCTGAAGTGACAGCTCTTTTATCATCAGGCTCCTCTGCTCAGGGATTTTTATTTAGGAGGAAAGGGTTAACTATTGTTTCAAGTTGGGAGAAACATGAAGGCAATGGAAAGGAAGGACAATTTTGGGAACAGAATGGAGGCAAGACCTTTGGGAGGCAGGTAGGGTACCTTAGAAGGTGATGCCCAGGTTCAAGAAGCAGAAGAACCTGGAGACAGGTCCCAGATCCTCTCCTGACCACACCCTGTGTGTCCAAGGATAAGTCATTTATCTTCTCTGAACTCACCTGGCTGCCCAGCACCCAGTAGGGTCTCCATTCATATCTTCTGAATGGACAACTGTGTGGGTTTAAAGGGCATATAGTAGGTGTGCAATAAGTACAAGCTGCTCTACTCTTTCTGCCTCCCACCATCTGTTCCAAGCTGCTCCCACCCCCTACTGCTTCTTCATTTCCCTGTAACTCCCTGCAGTCCTGCCACTCCAAGTCCCTGTTCTGTGATTGGATGACTCATGTTGACCAATTCAATTCCAGCAGAGGGGGCACAAAGCAGTAAAGAGATGCTGCAGTGAAAATGACCACTGCCAATGCCCCATCCTATTAACAGAAATAAACACCAACTCAAAACCAGCCATTCTAGCAGGCAGTATACTCCAGAAAAACCCCATGTGTCCACAACGAGCTAAATCCACCACACACACAGAAAGCTGAGCCCTGCCGGTATGCACAGAGGTGAACCCTGGGGATGCAGACAAACACCCCCGCCCCCACGTGTCTGCACAATGATGGTGCATCTCCTTTGTGGACAAGCCCCTACCGCTCACTGTGAGGTAAAGTCCATGTGTGCCCCGTGCAAGTTATGGTAGCTTGTGGGCAGAGGGTTCTTGAAGTTGCTGGAAGAGGTGTTAACTAAATCGGCCTATAAAAAATTAAAGCAAGCTCTCTATAAACCATGTACATGGCTTAGCAGTTCCTATTCACCAACCCCCTCACTACTCTCTGCGACAGTTCATTATTGTTGTCCTGATGAATACGGGGACAAGTTAACCTCTGAATGGGTCCCTGGTCGCAGGAATAATAAATAGGGCCCTCTCAGTAGCCTCAGTGGGAGGGTTGACTGGCAGGGCTGGGGGTCCTGAAGGGCCCCCTCTCTCCAAGCCTCAACCCTCCCAGGGTCAGTGGCTGCAGCTCCATTTGGCAACCCCAGAAAGCCCTTTCAGGGCCCTGAGCTGGGGCCATTTTCACATTTACCGCTTCACCAAGTCCCCATCAGATGGGGATGAATAGGCATTTAACGAATTTACTTAGCGATGCTTCCACATGAAATCCTCTCAAAAGATGACATCTTGGGGGAGGAAGGGTGGATGGGAGGGGGCCTTGGATTCCAGGCCTAGAGCTTGTGGGTAAAGCCGCTTTTCAAAGCAGAGAGCTGTGCCCCCTGCCTGTCCCCTCTCCCTGGGGCCCTGGCCCCCTCGCTCTCCCTCTGCATAAATAAACCTGCTCTGAATACTAAAGCCTGTCTCCCCAGCCCTTCTCCAAAGGGTGATGGAATTCGGCTGGGGCCCAAGTTTTCCTATTGTTGCTTTCAGACGCCTGTCGATAATTGCCTACATAATATTTAGTTCTCTCCAGATAATTAACAGCTTGTGATCTGTTGACATTTTACTCAGTTCCAGCCTCTCTCTCCCTACCCCTCACACACATTTCTCACTCACTCTTTCTGGTGGAGTCGTTTGCCAAGCGGTTCCCACAGCTCGTCACTTGTGTCTGTCTCCTCACCAGTTTCTCTGCACCTTTGGCAGAAATTGTTAGAAGATATGTCCCTCCATCTATGCCAGTTCCTCTGATTCAGGATGGTGACTCTGGGGTCCATTATGGCACTGTTAGGAGCCACTGAAACATCTTTGTTTTAATTAACATGTTTTTAATAAATATTAAAATACACGTATTTGAACCATACGGGAATATCAGTTGAAACACATAAATAAATGAGTAAGGAAAGACGCTCCAAGACTACTTACACAATGCCCACCGTGGCCTAGGCCCTGGGGCTGACTTTGCTACACTCTTTTGCACTTAAGCTTTCACAAAGATGCTACAAATGTGAGTTTCATTCCCATTTTATAGATGGGCAGCTGAGACTCAAAGAAGTCACTATTTGGTTAAATGGAGAAATTGGGTTGGAACTACCAGACCACTTCTACAAGCAAATGTGTGAATAAATGAGTAAGTGAATGAAGGAATGAATTCCATTCCAGGTCCAGGAGAAAATAAATATACAGGCACTCTGATGCCTCCCAATTCAGAGGCCAGTGTTTGCTTTAAGAGCAGCAGCCCTCTGCCGTTAGACACCGTATCTTAGGTTCCACCCAAGACCTACTGAGTTTAAACCTACTTTTAAACAAAATTCCCAGGTAAGGCATCTGCCCTTTAACGCTTAAGAAGCGTTGTTTTAAGTCAAGCATGGGTATCGGTAGTTAACTCTCTTCCTCTTTCTTTATTCATCATTTCCCCATGGTCTCTTCCTGAAAGCCCTGACTCTGAGCATGTTACTTTCATCTCTGTAAACCTCATGTGTTGGGAGTATTAAACAAAATAATACATGTAAAACCTGTGCAGTAGCACCTGGCATATCGTAAGCCTTTGATAGTGTGGCCTGTTACTTAATAATATGTATTATTGCCATTTTGAACATCAGAAGCTTAAGATATTTTGAACTGGGGACAGTAGTGTAAGGACCCGGCCTAACTTGAACTTGGAAGGCTTTCTATACATCACATGTATGGGATGTTCTGCAGAGCATGGTTTGGAAATGCCTCTAAGGGGACTTGTCCACAGTCTCCCAGCTGGTGTCAGGGATAGGAGCTGTCTTCCAGAGGGTCATTGCACCATCATGTTGTCTGATGTGCATAATGACTCTGGGCTGAAGACACACAGGAAGGGGCATGGTTCATCTCTCTGGTCCTCCTGCCCCCACACCCCCTCATCCCCGGTGCCCAGGAGCCCAGTCACAGCTATGCCTGTCTGCTGGCAGCACGTGATTGGGTGAGGAGAGGATGGAGCCTGCTTAGCCTCCACCCAGAAAAAGCCCAACTCAGAGCCAGCTTTTCTTCTCCAGGTCCCTCCTGCCCACCATGCTCGGGCCCCCAGATCTCTCTCCCGATACAGGATGCTCACGACTGATGATGAGGCTGATGGTGCTCAGGCAAAAGTTAGGCACAGAGTTTTGTGAATGCCAAGATTCAGGATTTCAACCCCCTAATGCTGCCAGTATGCACAGACTTCCTGGATGCAGTGGGTGGGCCATATGCAGAGCAGAAATGTGAGTGAGCGGTGGTGAGAGACTGCGGTCTCTGGCAAGGTGAGGGTGGTGAGGGCATAGGAGGCACCTTCAACCTGAGCTCAGAGTATACGGTGTCAGTATTTCCCCATTTCCTACTACGTGTATCATATGTAGAGTTGTATGATATTTATGTTCAATTTAATTTTTTTAAATCCTCACTCAAAGACATTTTTTCATTGCTTTTGGAGACAGACAAAGGGAGGGAAGAAGGGAGAGAAACATCAGTGTGAGAGAGAAACATTGATTGGTTGCCTCTGATATGCTCCTGGACTGGGGATCAACCCTGCAGCCAGTCATGGCCCTGACCTGAAATCTAATCTACAACCTTTCTGTTATAAGACAAGGCTCCAAAAAAAAACCCCTGAGCCACATAGGCCATGCCCGTATGTTCAATTTAAATACCACTTTAGTTTTACTCTAAGCAACAATATTTGTGATAGCTGATGTACCTTATTTTCCCAAAAATTTTATATTGTGGTAAAATACACATAACATGAAATTTGCCACTTCGCCCATCTTTAAGTGTACAGTTCAGTCACGTTAAGTACATTCACAATGTTGTGCCACCATTGCCACCACCCATCTCCAAGCCTCTTTTAATCTTGCAAAACTGAGACTATGCACTCATTAAATAACAACTTCCTACCTCCTTCCTGCACCAA